TGTGGGACACTCCTGTAGGACGCTCTTGCTCTTGTGGGACACTCTTGTGGGACACTCTTGTAGGAAACTCTTCTGGGACACTCTTGCGGGACACTCTTAAGGGACACTCTTGTGGGACACTCTTGTACGAAACTCTTGTGGGATACTCTTGTAGGACACTCTTGCGGGACACTCTTAAGGGACACTCTTGTGGGACACTCTTGTACGAAACTCTTGTGGGATACGCTTGTAGGACACTCTTGTGGGACACTCTTGTAGGATACTCTTGTGGGACGCTCTTGTAGGGCACTCTTCGTACGAGACTTCCTCCGAAAGTCACACGTCAAGTCTCCAAAACGAGCGTTTCGTACGAGACTTCCTCCAAAAGTCAGATGTCAAGTCTCCAAAACGAACGTTTCGTACGAGACTTCCTCCAAAAGTCACGTGTCAAGTCTCCAAAACGAGCGTTTCGTACGAGACTTCCTCCAAAACTCACATGTCAAAGTCTGCAAAATAAGCATTTCGTACGAGACTGCCTCCAACAGTCAAGCGGAAACACCCATCGGAGCACACACACACATCACGCAGCCCTGCCAAGCAGTTTCGCAAGTCCAGCCCCTCCAAACAACACCCGTTCACACGCCAATCCCACTGTGACAGCGAATTCACCTCTACCACAACTCACGACCTCACAATTCCTCAATTCCCTGCGCCTGCCACGAATCTTTCCGCATCCACACGTCTAACACGCGCAAAGTACTGCGCCTGCCACGAAATGTCACCTCCGTCACACCTCGCAACCTCACCATTCCCTGCCCTGCGCCTGCCACGAGAATCGCACTTCCACGCCTCAAAACCCACACAAAGTACTGCGCCTACCACGAAAAGTGACAATATCATCTCATGTCAGCTTCAACAAATTTTGCACCACACCACACCTTTGGAATGATTTCGACCCGTTCTGAGCACACTCCCATCCACCAAAATCGCCGTTTCAGCTGAGACTGGTCACGAAAACAGAGCTTCGATGCCACACCCTGAAACGCAAATCCTTTCCGACTAAGGGGATAGATTTTATAGTGATGTCTGTTGTTCCAGGCCTCAGATTTTATAAGGATCTGGGTGTCCCGAAGCTGGGGGGCGCCGCTTTATACTATAGAACTGGGCCACCCGGGAGACATGAATTTCAAAGGGGATACTGGGGCATTGTTTGGCGTCCTTATCTATCACCCTGGCATTTGCTCATCTGAGCCGGGGCGTGCCCGCATCCGCCTCACGTGCCTTCCATCTACTAGCAATCGCCTCGAACCTATATAATAGCTTCCAACCTATAAAAAATGCCCCCCAACCCACTAGCAATGGCCTCCTCCCGCCGCTTCCATGTGGTAGGGCTCGTGCCATTCGACAGCGAGCACGGAGGTGGCGTCCTCACTTATTGCACGACCTGCAAGAACCCAGTCCTCCGCTCGTGGTCATGCGGGATGACCTCCTGTTCCCCGCCAGAAGCTGCCCTCGACCGACGCTCGGACACCTTCTGCACGGCGCCGCCGCCAGCAGCTGTTCCCGCTGTGAGGTCCCGCCCTCGCCGGCCCTGGCCCTGCGCGTCCAGTGGAGACGGAAGCGGTTGCCGTTACCTACAGTGGGCGCCATGCTCGTTGCGAGTTTCCGCCTGCGATGCTGGGGACCACCTCCGGACTGGCAGACAAACTTGTTCCAATAGTCTCGAACGTTCGATCGAGAGGCAGTTGCAACTAGTTGCATCTGTGCCCTCAGAGTCAAACTCTAAGGGAACATGTTTCTTTAGATATCTATCAGACTTATGTCATGTGCAGTACGTGTGAACACTCTAGTGCAACTGTATGCATATACGTGCATCATACATGTGTATGCACAGGTGTATTTACATGGTAACTCCCCTGCCATCCCCAAAAGCGAAAACACGGTAAACTCGGCAAAAATAGACGCCTTGTAGATGTGCAGCACATTCATCCATTGATCTCTTTAATCCACATTCGAGAAGGGAAGGGCTCGTGGCGCAGACGGGCTCAGTTCTGAGGGCTACAAACCAGCAGTTGGACGCTGCCCTGGCAAAGCAGGAGGTGCTAGAGGAGGTGAATTGGTCAAATCGAGTTAAGCCGTTTGGTTGCTGCTAAGCCGGTCTTTTTCAGCACCATATATAGATTGCATCCGATCAGCTAGGCCTAATTCAGGCAACCGAAAATAGAGTTTTGGAGGTCACGATCCAGCCTAGATTTGATAGAGGGCTAGATTTGACACGACCTTCAGTTCAATGTGCAGCGCTCAGACCTTGTCATGTGTTTGAGTTCGTGCTTTGGCTAGCACTAGTGTTGGTAGGAGCTACGGCGTGTTGCTGATGGCTCGGCAATCCCCAGTCTGGGGCCCAGTTTGGGCTCTTGTTTTGGTAGGTAGGTAGGTTGGTTGGTTCCTTGGTTCGTTGGTTCGTTCGTTCGTCCGTTGGTCCGTTCCTTTGTTCGTCCGTTCGTCCGTTCATCCATTCGTCCATGCATCCACCATCATCCACCCATCCATCCATGCATTCATTCAGTCATTCCTTCCTTCCTTCATTCATTCATTCGTTCGTTCGTTCGTTGTGATCAATTCTTGGAAAGGCTTGATTCAGGGAGATGCACTGCGAATGCTGGAAAGGCTGAGGCAAGAAGGGGTGAGATGAATTTTTTTGGAGGCACAAGGAAGCGGGTGGGAGACTCTTTCGTGGATTTCTCCAAAGCATGCGACTCAACATCAACAGTCCGAGTTGTGACATTCTTGCGGCGGCACTAGTTGCGACACCGCAGGAAAGAACAGCGCCTGGAAGCGGCAGCACTCTGGGAGGTGAGGTGCCAAAAGCTGAAGCGAGAGAGCGAGGGAGTATGGCCGAGTAAGGAACATCTCTTAGAGCCTTCAGATCTGCGGCAAACCTTCTTAATTTAAACGCATTACATCGGAAGTTCTGTGTGGTGTGCGGCATCTCAGACAGCTCCCACTGCATGACAGACATGTTTGTGCCACAAATGATGTGCCAGCGCGATATTATAACACCTAGTGGATCAATTCATCCTGAAAGGCTGACTGAAACTGAAGGGCACTGGCCCGCCATGACCCGTCGCCCAATTCTATCGAGGCCATTGGTGAGTTAGCGGAGCACATCGGCGCTGATGGGGCCAGCTTCATCAAGGTGGTCAGGGGTTGTGGTCTTGGATCTATTTTTGGACAAAAGGGTGATGGGCCAGCTCCATCAAACTTGCCACCAATTGGAGTGCCGTGAGCCACCCATGACAGGTTGCTCAGAATGAGGCAGGGGCAGCCGCAAGAACCAACAAGGATGAGGTTGTTGTCAGGACTCCTGTTGATGTGTTTTGAGGTCCTCCCAGATTTGCTACTAAGCTTGGAAGCATGTTGCGGATCTATTCAGAGTGATGCCAGATGATGCCAGTCAAGGCAGTCGCATACCGGGCATAGAGTAAGTGCACGCAACAGCAGCTTTCTTGACACACCCTTTTTTTTGAGTTGGGAAGACTTTGGCTCTCAGACAGGCGGGACGGTCCAGCCAGCTGCAAGCATCGCATGGTGAGCAGGTGCCCTTTCATCCATCGCCTCCATATATATGTATATATTTATATAAAATTAAAACATTGGTGGTGGAACAAACATGTGTAACCTCTGTGTTGACTGTGATGACTGCGATGTTTTTGGGAGCCACTTTGACAGATGACATGTCCTGCAGCCATGCAGGGAGCTTTTGGGATGCATCAAGCTCAAGGCAGACCCGCTACAGCCAAATGAGAAGCTGGCAGTTGGATGGGCTGCTATGCATCTTTGCTGAAAGGATGCATTGAAGTGTCCACTGCCCGAGAGGAAATACAACCGGAGGTGACACACCCTTGCTCTACAAAAGCATGCATTTGCCATGGCACCCGCTTGCTTTGCATTTTGCAACTCTACAGACTCGTCCGCTTGTTGAGTCAACAGAGGTCAGCCCTCAATGACACCACCTTCGGGTTCCAACCTCAGGAATCATGCGGGTGGCTTGGACAAATTGGGGCGTTACATTGCGTTACATCGCTCAGGTGGTATTGAGTAGCCCTACAGTTTTGTGCTGAAACTTACTGTTTCCCCTTCCACTTCCGAGGTCATTTTATGTTATATATATACAGTTATATACACGCACGATGCGCAGGTTGCCGTATACAGATCCATGAGCCAATCCTAATGTCAGAACGATTGCGGTGCCACCGGGCAGGCCTCGCCAATGTGAGCGAGCGAAGATCACCCACCATGTTCTTGCCACCGAACGAAAATGCGCGCTTGTGTTCGGCGATGCCGGAGGGAAGGTCAAGAGATGTCAAGAGACTAGAAGGCCATTCCAAAAAGTTTCTGTGGAAACTAGAAGGTACGATATAAGGCTTAGAAAAGCCTTAGCCTTCCTCTTGGACAGTGCTTTTGCAAAAAACACTGTCAAACCAAAGTCCTGCAGCTCGCAAGGACGAGCTTCCAACCCGAGTCTCGGCCTCGGTGCTGTCAAGCTGCTTGCAATCACCAGCTCCTCATGCTGCCAATCCTTTTTTGCTAAGGCATTACAATATTTTGTTGTACAGCAGATCTTGGAACTGTGTTATCACATGCAGAAAGGCTGGCTGCACTATGTGCTTTGGATCAAGCTCCTGCACACCGAACCACAGGAGGGAGTAGAAACCCTGACTCCTTCTTTTTGTGCACTCGGGGCAGCTGCAGAACTCAGTGGTTTCATATTTTTTTTTTATCATCAGTGGATGCATGGGAATGTTTGTTGCGGCTGTTTTGCAAGCATACTATATACATAGGGATATTAACTATGTAAGATTTCAGGAGCAGCAAGCTTGCAAATAGGATCATACTATGAACGAGATCATATCGTAAAGCACTATCATCAAAGGAATGGGCCCTGCACTACATATTGCGTTTTCACTCAGCCATGGCAGCCACGTGCTGGTGGCCTTTGAGTTTGCTTGCTGCCTGCTCAATTGTGAACTGGTGGCTCCTACCTTTGGTGGCAGCGTGCCCCGACTGTCCTGAGAACGTGCAGCTTTTGCAGCAGAGCCTGCGGCTGAAAAAGGCGAGCAGGGCAGAGCAGGGTTGACACATAACCTTTTGAAAACGGCTCCGAGGGTCAAAAGATCCGCAGGAATCCGAAGACCAACTTTGGATCTGTTTATTCCGCAGGAATCCGAGCATCAATCACCGTTTAACCTTGGAGGCACCAATCTCCTCAACCTTGCCATCTTTTTTGAAGCATTGCACGGGATGGGCCACTCGCTGGTTCAAAACTGAGTGAGGACTTACCTTTGGCCCACTCTAAGCGGAAGCTGGACGACTCAGGCGCCATTTGACAGTTCAAAATCATTATATAAGATTCCACTTCTTGGCTTTTGGAGGCATTTTGACTCACCAAGGACTGTCTACAGCAATATGTCAGAAGTCGTGACGACGCCTTCACCTGGAGACAAGCCAACCACAGTCTTCAAGGGGGCGACTGGACGGGAACGGTGCTGGAGATGACTAGCCAACGGTGGCTGCCCCAGCTGGTGTCACCAGACGTTTGGAAGCTTGGCCTGGTGCATAGTAATATAGTGCCATACGAGTTATTGCAAGGGTACCTTTGTTACCCAGGGCTTCAGCCAAAGCCACACATGAGTGCGCCACACATGTGGCGTGAAATCCATCACAGCGAAGGAACCACACCTTGGTTGTCATTACGCCGCAGAACGTCTCCAAAGACCTCTGTTTGCTCTACATCGCCTTGGGCTATTTCGGCTCTCCATTGGTGCCTTCGTCGCATGTGGCCAGCTCCAACGAGGACGTCCAGGCGGCGGCCAAGATGGCGCTAGCTGCCGGCACCCACGCGGCAGTGCTTTTCAACGTCCCTGCTGAGTACTTGACACCACCACAACTGGACTTTCCTCATCCTTTGGTGGAGGAGCTCAGAGCGGTCATAGCCGGGTATATAAGTTGAGGGGCAGCGAAGTCCATTAAACGAAGTCGACAATTTAAGTTTCCCCAACCATCTAGGAACCAAATCATTAGCGTGAGCTATGCTGCGTCCGTCCGTGTGTAGTAGCCTCCTAGTAGCTAGTAGCGAACTTCTCCCTAACTTAATTATAACTAAGATTATAAGTAGGTGCTTACTTAATAAATTAGTAGTAGGGCATAATCATAGCGGAACAAAACATGGTCCTTGTTGGTACAAGTCCTGGGGCCCTTTGTGCTTCTTTTCGCAGGATTCTTTTCTCGCTAGCTTGGTGTCGAATGCCGAGTCCGTTTGTTTCCGAAAAGCTGCAGAGCAGTTTCAACTCGAGGTTTATATTTTTCACCGCTGTTGTACATACACATGTTCCTACCCGTGCATATTTGGCTCAAGCAAAAAGGTGCCTGTTCTAGGCTATTACCTGTTTGAAATAGGTTATCAGCCGTAGGTCTCTTTTCTGTCTCACCTCGCCGTCCCGCGCGCGTCCTACCATGGCAGGCATTGGATATCCGCCGATCATAGATTTGGCGTCGGATCAGGACAACATGTCCGCGCGTGAGGGAACGCCTGAGTTCGCAAGTTCCACTGCACTTGTTCCAGAGGGTTATGGTTATTTGGACACGCCTATTGGGCCTGACATTCTCCAGTACAACCCTCCCACAGCAAGTGCCAGCGGGAACGCTGTGCCGGCCAATACTCTTAGTCAGACAAACATATTGAACCAGCACTTGCATGTTCAGCAAGCCCCAACCACCGATACACGGTTGATTGAGGCAGTTGCCGAAGAAAGACACCGGCACGCCATGGACATTCAGGGTGAACAACTCCAGATGGTGAGTACTCAGCGTGACGAAATGCGAGTACAGGGTTTAAGGTTTATTATGTAAAAGAAGCTACTCCACTTTGACATGACATGTACAGGACATCGCACTTGAGGCCTTCGTGGTTCAAAACAGCTCGCATGGTAGCGGAGCTGAGAAGGCTGACGCTCGTCAGCTGGAGCTCCGGGGAAGTTTTAACCCAGGTGTGAGGTCGCCCGCGCCGAGCCACCCATCCAACTAGTGTTGCATTTTCGCTCGCAATCATAGCCTGTGATTACCTGAAGGGGATCTTCGAGCGAGTGTCCTTTGGAGGTGGAGAGAGGGGCGAAGGACCTGGGCAGAAGGAAGAGCTTGGCACTACAAGGAAGAAAAGATGGACCAGACCGACATGCCCGTGCTAGCTCAAGCTGTCATAGCGGCTGCTAATGCAGCAGCCCAGGCGGCTCAGGCAGCGGCTTCAAGTGGAGGAACAGCTGGTCAGGGTGCAGAAGGAGCAGGGGGAAGCCAAGGAGTGTTGAAGCGTGATCTAGCAAAGTTGATCCCACGACCTGGTGCCTTTAATCCCACAGACAGAGAGCAAGAGGTTTTGCAGTGGCGAGATTGGTACTGGACAGTCAAACAATATTTGGTTGTGGTTGATGCAGCATTTCAAGATGAGTTGGAGAAGCTAGAGACCAACCTGACAACCGAGATAGACTGGGAGTTGCTAGATGAGGAGGAACAGCAGAGAAGTCGATTTCTGTACAGCTTGTTGGGGAGCTTGGTACAAGGACGACTGACAGGTGTCATCAAGAATGTCGAGAAGTTCAATGGAATGGAAGCACTTCGACAACTGTTGATGAACTGTCAACCCCAGGCGAGAAACAGGACGATGAACCTCCTGCAAGGGATAATGTCCTACCCGAGCTTCAACATGAAGAGCTCCTTGTTGCCTCAAATCCTCAAGTTAGAGGAACACTATGTCCAGTATGAGCGCCTTGGAGGAAAGCTATCACCTGACATGAAGTCAGCGGTGTTGCTCAGAGCGGTGTCGGGTCAGATGAAGACTCATTTGAATCTGACTTTGAATGAGGGCAGCTCATATGGCAAAATCAGGGAAGCAATCATTGCCTTTGACACGGCCACCACCAAGTGGAATGAGTCGGGAGCCCTTACGTTTTCAGGAATGAGCCCAATGACGAATACAACAGATCCCAATGGTCCAATGCCTATGGAGATTGACCGCATCAAGGGTGACGGCAAGAAAGGAAAGGGAAAGACCAAAGATGGTAAAGGCAAATCGAAGGGCAAAGAAGACCGACAGAAGGGAAAAGGCAAAGGTGGCAAGCCTAGTGGAAAAGAAGGCAAGGGTAAAGGAGGTGGCAAGGAGAACAAAGGTGGCAAAGGCAAAGCTACCAATGAAGTGTGTTGGACTTGCGGCAAACCCGGACACATGTCACGTGACTGTTGGAGGATCAGACAAGTTGAAGCACCAGCAGTCCAGAGCATCGCAGGTTCTCACACTACTTCGCCCTCTACGACATTGACATCGAGCACCTCGAGTGGAGGAGGCGGAGACGCCAATGTGGGTGCCAAGAGTATCAGACGTGTTTCACAGCCAGTGATCTTCGACTTGAGAGAAGGGAGTGAAGCTGGTTCAATTCGAGTGGTGAGCCAAGTTGAATTTTTCAACATTGCCTCAGAGGATGAAGAGGAGGATGGATGCTACCAAGTCAACACCATTGCTGAGACCGAGCATGAGGAGGAGGCCGAGGAGGCCTATGTGGCAGAAGAGGAGCAACAGACCTTGAAGGTGATTGTTGACTCGGGGGCGGATGCCTCGATCTTCCCAGGAAGACTCATGGGAATGACAAGGAGTGATCAGGTGTTGGGACAAGCCCTTCATCTGCAAGACGCCCAAGGGAAGAAGATCCAGAGTTATGGCAACAAAGATGTGGATATCTTGATGATGACATCTGAGGGCCAATCTGTGGTCTTGAAGGAGAGAGTGACCTTCAGCGACATGGTGAGCCAGCCCATCTTGTCTTTTGGACGCTTGATGAGAAGCGGGTGGTCCATCGATGGCCAAAGGCAGTGTTTGAGGAATGGAAGCCTGGAGGTGCCTTTAGCGTTTCAGAATCAAAGCCTAGTGGTGGATGCTGCCATCAGGGTGATCACAGAACCCCTGGTGATTCGAACGCTGGCAGTCAGGCTGAATGAGGAGTTGACCAACATGGCTGGAAGCGGCTATGGCTGGAAGAAGAAAGATGAGTTTTGGGTTGGACTTCACTTGAGCACAAGGTTTCAAAGCCCACAGTTCATTCCGGGCTTTCGAGATCAAGGAGAAGGGATGTGTCGAACTACCCTGGTGGAGAAGCAGGGCAGTTGGGAGTTGGTAGAAATGGCCGAACCATTAGACGGCCTAGAGGAGCAAGAAGAGGAAGTAGAAGAACTTCGAGAGGTGGGTCTTAGCAAGGTGATGACCTTTGTGGCTCAGGAAGGAACAGTTCCAGAGATGTTCGGTTTTGAGATTGACAATGCAGTCCAAATGGGTCCTGGACCAGCAGTTGAAGAGCTCGCAATTCCACAAGCTCAAGATGAGGAGATGGAAGAATTCGATGGTGCAGACATTCCAGGTGGAGATGACGAGCCCAACCCTGGTCGTGACCTACAAGAACAGATGGTGCACTATGAGATCGGTGTTGCACTTCCAGAGGAGATTCGAGTGAATGAGGTCCCACTGACAGTCGACAGCCCCCTGAGGAACCTGAGAGCTGCTTGTGCTTTCTACAGGATCGGACAGAGTGGAGGCAAGAGAAAATGCTTCAGTCGGCTAGTGGCTCATCAAGGTGCACTCGAGTTGATGATGGCCAAGGACTTAGCTGCGCGAGGACAAGCAATGGGGCAGAGGATTCCAGTGGAGCAGGTGACAGCAAAAGTCCCAACAGAAGCAGAGAGGAAAGCCCATGAGCTTACTCATGTCCCTTACGCTCCATGGTGTCCTGCCTGCATCAGGCATCGAGCTCGTCCTGATCAACGCAGGAGGACGGGGAAGTCTCATGACCAAGGAGTTCCAACAATCTCCTTCGACTTTTGCAAGGTGAAAGCCAAGGGTTCAGGAGCGATTGGAACGGAAGAAGAGGATGCTGCTCAGGAAGGTGTGCAAGATGATGAGAGTGGAGCGCTGCTGATGGTTGCGGTATGCTCAGAAACAGGCTCACTATTGGGTTTGCCTTTGAAGACAAAGAACCAGATGAACCTCATCACCCACGAGCTGCTTGCATTCACTCAGATTCTCGGCCATGAGGCTGTGCAGTACTACTGCGACAATGAACCTACTGCGAGGCAGATTGTTCGACTCTTGGTGGCTTCGAGAACAGCCATGGGTTTGAAAACTACAATGAGAACAACAAAGCTTTATGACTCAGCAGGCAATTCTTTGGCTGAGAATGCAGTTCAGCGAGTACGAGGTCTTGCAGCTTCGATGATGGAGAGTCTGGCGGAGAAGATCGGCTTGAGATTTCAGCACCAACATCCACTGTGGTCTTGGGCGTGCCGCCATGCTGCTTGGACCCTGAATCGATATCAGGTGCTGAGAGGGACAACGAGCTTTGAGTTGACTCATGGAAAAGCCTATGATGGCAAGATGTGCCCTTTCGGAGAAGTGGTGTTCGCCTACACGAAACAAAAGCAGGGCTTCAAAGCGGACCCAAAGTGGAAGGTAGGCATTTGCTTGGGAAAGACAGAGGTCCAGGATGCATGGGTCATCGGAGATGGAAACAGAGTCTTCCTCAGCAAGTCCATTCGCAGAGTTGCAGACGCCAGTACCAGGTACATAGCTTGCTACCAGGGCTTCACGGCATACTCATGGGAGTACCAGCAGAATTTTGGTGGAAGAATCGTCCCATCAAAGAGAGTTGCAACGATGGTTGGAGGACCACTGCTGGGATTGCCGACACCTGGAGCAGGAAGAGAAGCTCTGCAGGATGAGGATGCTAAAGAGGTAATAGCCTTCTCGAAGTCCTACGCGGGAAAGTTGGAGGAGGCAAAGGACTTGGTCGAAGTGGTTGAGAAAGAGAAGGTTCAGGTCCAGGAGATGAGTGAGGAGCAGAAGATTGTGGAGAACAAGAAGCTGGACTACGTAGAAGAGAG